TACAGTCGACCCCCCTATAAGATCATTGATTATTCCGTTTTATATGAATTCCATGTTGTACGAGTCACTTAGATTTTACAAATACATGTACCGGGCTGTGAACGGCACACGTATTTGTAAAATTTAAGTGACTCGTACAACATGGAATTCATATAAAACGGAATAATCAATGATCTTATACGGGGGTCGACTGTATAAATAAGTAGGCATAATCTATAATTTCTGTATTATTATTATTATTATTGTTATTTTGTATTTTATGTAGCAAAAATTCTGTACTAAACATGTTTTTATTGAAAATATAAAAATAAAAAATATGTATACATATATTGTATATTCAGTAAAATCTCTAATCTTAATCTCTCCTTAAGTTGAACCGAGTTGTTTGTTTTGGTACTGTACTGTATTTATAATGTATTTTTCTATGCCTTACATTGAATAAAATTTTATGTATCTAAGTGTTGTCCCTCCTTAAGTTAAACTAGTCAAATTCAGGAGGTGCCAACCAACCTAAGTTTATTAAGTTTCACAAATCCTTTTAGCAGATTGTTTGCTAAGTAGCTTTAATACAGCTGGATAAGTAAGTCAATGACATTAGAGTTTCAAATTTATCAGAAAATTTGCTTAATCTAGCTTATCTATAACACTGTTGAGCAGCTTAAAAGTTTTGTTTCTAGCCTAATAGCATTCGGCTTTGGTTGGTGTCTAGCTTTATAGTATATCGGGTTTAATGATGTTGTTTGTTTATATATATATATATACACACACACACACACCTTGTGCTGGGGTTTGCAATGGCCGATTGAAGTGCCTTGGGAGTTGTTTGCACATCGTGGGTGCTGAATGCATCCCCAGCTGGCATTGTAATGACTGTTGATGGTTATAATGTAAGCTTATATAGACTGGAAGAGGAGATCGGACTGGAGGTCTGGGTAGCATAACTGGCAAATACATCTGCACAGTAAGCATGAGTTGTGGGTTTGAGTCCCACTCTGGGATGACTTTTTTGTTCCAGTAATTCTAAATTATTTAAATTAATTAATTAAAAATTATAATTATTAAGAGATGGCACCTAACACCTCCCTCTAGTGTCTTTTATATTAATAAAGATCTACTTGCTAACCATCTAAATTTTTCTGTGAATAATTTATGTAATGTATTAAGCAAAATCTGATTTTTGAAGAAATGCAGTTTAGCACAGAGATTTAATTTTGTGATATATTTAAATTCATGATACAATATTTATTAAAATCATTATTACAACCTAATATATTGTTCTAATAATTGATTCNAATTCTGTATTCTACTTTTCAAACTACAATAAGTTCTACTTTGAGAGTTAATGAAAAACTAAATTAGTCCAAAAACATTTCAAATAAATACTTTGGTTACCTTGACTTAACAGTTTATTTTTTGGATATTTGTGATAAAATATTTGCAGTTACGCACAATTATCAAAATTGAAATAACAATTTTCTCAACATATAACTGCATTCATTTATGTATATGAAATATATGAATAAAACTAGATTTAAAATTACATATCATTGTTTTGACTAAATTGTAAAAGATTGTATTATTCATATATTATAAGTCAGTGCAACATATTACAATTTATGGAATAATCAACTTAATATAGCAAATACTGGCATGTTGATAGAACTTCAACACAAAGAAATTTGTAAAAATTGATAATTAATTTCAATTAATACAAACTCCACATTTCAGTATAAATTTTGTTCTACTAAGCTTACAAATCTTCACATTAATAATCTCATAAAATAAAGAAAATATATATACTGTATATAAGTTATTTAATAGTGAATACTTACTTGAAAGAATATAATATTAGAATAAAACATAATCCAACATCTACAAACTTGATGTACAGTACATATGTAATAAGCCAACAACTACTGGATTATATCTGGCTATAATCTAGTAGTTGTTGGCTTTTTAGAATAAGATTTATGATTTAACATATAAGCTTCTAAATTGTTTCAAATCCTCACTTCTGTAATCTGTTACCAGTGCATTACGTGTAAAAAATACAATGGGCAACAAACATTTTCAAACTATTGCAAAGTTCTTCTTTGCAACAGTTCGAAAACGTTTGCCACCCACTGTATTTTTTACACATAACGCACTGGTAACAGGTTACAGAAGTGAGGATTTTACTCTGGTGTTGAAGTAAAGAATGATTCTGTATGTTTCAAATTATTTTATTAATCTGAAAATGACTGATAATAGAGTTTAAAATGTTAGTTTAATTAATGGAATAAAGTTAGTATTTGGCAAAGATTTTGTATTGCAAGCAAAGTAAAAACATAATTATTATCACAATTATTTTAATAAATAAGATAAATGTTATTCATTATGATTAAAAACTTTTGACAAAAAAAAATTATCTGGGTACTTAAATTATATGCTCAGCAATTTTTCATCAAGTTAAAATTTTGAAATTAACATTTATAAAATAAACTAGTTGCAATAAAACAAATACAAAAAAAAAAAAAATTCATTTATTAATAAAATTCATTAAAAAAAGGGGGCTTAATGAAATGAAACATTTATTTTATTGATGTATTCCTAAGGAAATAAAAAAAATCTCCTTCAAAATTATTTTCAGAAAACAAAGCAGGAAGCAGAAAAATAAAAATGCTTATATTACTTTTGAGATACTTAAGTAAAAATATTCAAACTCATATAATCCTTTGATTAACTTTAAATAAAGCCATATATGTGAATTAAGCACGTATATAAAATCAAACAAACAACTATAGCAAGGTCAAATCTGATCCTGCTATACCTGTTTAAGAATTTTTTGTTTTAAAAGCAGCTCACTTTTAAAACAAAAAATAATGGATGTAATTACACTTGTCAACACAATTGTTTTCTTATATTTTATTGTGTGCACTGTACATGTGTTTTTATGCTAATTGTTAGATGAATTCCAAATTTAGCCATCATGTCACATTCTTGAGAAATTCTTAATATCATCAAATATAATTCTAATATGCATTTACATAAATAAGTTTTAAAAGGAATGTGACTAATGCTGGACATAAATATTAAAAACCAAAAATGCATCATATAAAGAAAAAGTGACAAAACAAACTTTTTAAACCTTAATATACTGTACATTTATATCTTTTCTATTATTAATAAAATTAATCATAAACAAGTTGTCTTTTATTTTCTTATCCTGAAAGGAAACAAATATTTTGTTCTTATTTTAATAATGAGAAATAACAGATATGAAATTATACACAAAAGATCAAGAAAAATTATTAAAGTGAAGATTTGTTGCCTAGTGTTATTTCTGTAAATCTGATATTATTGCTTACAATATGAGAAAGGACATATCAAAAAGCAAAGACAATTTATATATAAAAATAACATTCCATGTCAAAAAACAATTCAAAAGTCAGCATTTCTACTTTGTTGTTAGATAAGGTGAAATATGTTTTGCCTGTTGTCTGCATTGTCTGGTCTTGATGATTGGAATGTAACTGTGTAGGCTTTACTTCTTAATCACACTATCAATAAACAAGTTGCACTCAGGTTTTTTCTAATTATAAACAACTAAATCTTTCCAAATTTGCTAAAAATGTTAATGCAATAGGGAAAAAACCAGATCAGCACAAAAATTTCATAAAAGCCAAGAAAGTTTAAAAACAATAAAGATATGTATTCAAATAAAGACCATTCAAGTCATATAGCAGTCCCAACAAAAGTAAACATTATTGATCGATCCAATACACCATTCAAGAAAGCAAACAGACTGTTTCCATTGTTCTTACCAGGTTAATCATCTGTATTTACATATATAAACACCAAAAATGTATAAATAACTTATGAAGCAACTGAAAACAGTTTTTGGAAGTTATTAGGAAGCTTGTAAATTAATGCTATAAACTTTTTGAGAAACAAGAAGACTGTACTAAAAATAATATACCAATTTTTCCAAATTTTTCTTTTTCTTGACATAGAAATAAATAGATTTGATTTATCTATACATAATATAACATCACAGAAAATGTCCACCATTGAAATTTTTACCATATATTTTCTTAAAAATATTATAAAAAATTATAATAGATCTAGTTATTTTTATAATGATACAAAAATCAGTAATAATATTAATTTTTTCACAATATACCTTTTTCATAAATTTTCTGTTTAATACTTAAATTAAAATTAACAAAGAAATTAACGAATTCATTATCCTTCAAAACAAATTGATGTTCTTTATATATGTTTCTTGTATTAATAAATTAATCATCCTCTCTGCAAATTTGGTGATACTTAGCTTTAGTATGATCATTTGTGTAATAATTTTTAAGGAGTTAGTTTTATTACTTGATAAAACATTGATATTTATATATCATCTTCAAAAATTATATAAAGTTTTAAGACTTATTTTAAAAAATTCATACAATTATTCATCACTATTAGTTGTAATATAATTTATATTTCATAATAGATAGTAACTTCCAGCACACTAAAAAAATCTGAAATTAACAGTTTTGGAAACACATTAAGTATTTTATTTACTATCAGTTTTTTTATATTTAGCTTACTTTTAACATATTTAATCGCATAAGAAGTTTATAACATTATTGATAATCACAATTATAAGTTGAATATGCATAATTTCTGCTTTTTTTTTATGTATATCATAATTTCTCTAAAATGTTATTATTAGTCTTACTTTGTATTAAAGAATACAAAAATATAAACTGTCTTTTTGTATTAATATTTTAATAACATGTGAAACAACAAAGCCATTTTGTAATGTAGGTGTATTGATTAAATAGCCAAGATATATATGTATATTTATTAATTAAAATATTTATTATTGACATATTATTATTCCTGTGTCATACCTTTATTTATTTGTTATAGAATGACTTATAATGGCTTATTTTAAATCCGAAAACTTTTTCAAAATTTTCTGTAAACTTTAAATTTTAAGATCTGGCAATGTTGGTTGCATCATAAACTTTACATATGACAGCACAGTTGCTTTTACACAAGATACTTGAGATCAATGTTTCCAAAGATTTTCACAGTAATAAATTTCCTATTCTATAATATTATAACTTTATAGGACCACAAATATATATGCAGTCAGACATTGCCCAAACAAAGTTATGCAGCACATGACTGTATAGTAAATGGCACCTAATAATTTGGAATGTCTGGTAGTTTGTCATCCTCTAAAAAGTAGCCATAATTCAGAATTGACTGATAATAATCTGGTATGTTAGTATTGCATAAACTGGAATCTGTTTGGACACATGGAGCACTAGTCTAGAGACTACTATGCAAAGGAAGTATAGAGCTATAAGTAATTACACATCACAGCCATGTTCCAAAAGGCCCAAAAACAAACTTTATAAGAATACCATCTGGTGGAGACATCTATTAATACAACTCAATCCCAACAGATGAAATAGTTCCAACAATGATGTCACAAAAATAGTTAGGATTTCAATCTCCCATCTAGTGTAATCCAGTAAACTATACTTACTCTGTATTGTATTGTGCTGGATATGCATTACTTTCCCAGAACATTACTTGTGTGTTATGTTCAATAATGTGTTTGACTAATATATTTTCTTTCCCACAGACCAATGAAAAGACAGAATAACTAAAAACAAGTTTCGGATACTTGGAGCATGTGTAGCTTTTTTGAATCTTAATTTTGTGCAATAACATGTTCATTAATGTTTTTACAGGCTTTTCAATCAATCTTAACACACTACTGTATAATCTTCAGACTAATTAAAAAGCATACATAAACAAATCAGGAGTATACAGTAGCATGTACTGGTACAAAATGTACAGCAATGTCTGCAATGCTCAGATTGCATATAACTTATTGAATTTTGTAAAAATATAAAAATGTCCAGTAATCCAGTATTTTTGATTATCTGGAAGCATTCTGGTCCTTAGCTGCTATATTAACAAACTTCTACTGTATTTGTAATATATTAAAACATTTAATAAATCGAGGGTCTAAAAAAAATTAATTTTATATATTTGATGCTGTTCTATAATTCCATAACTGGACTTTGACTTTACTATCTGATGATAAAACTTAACTCCTTGAGCATTAAAAATTTGATCAAAGATATAATTACATTGAAAAATTTCAATTTTATATTATTAATAATATAATACTTAAATTTAATGAGATAAAAACAACAAGCAATACCACTTACTAAAAATAAATGAAAATATAAAAACTGTCTATTGGCATTACTGGTAAATATGTTTGATTTAAGAGTACAAGCACTTTCAACAGTATAAAAATGTAAACACTGGAGCCACTTGTCACCAGTATGTTCTTGTCATTTAACTATGTTTTTAGCAAGTTGAATAGATACTAGAATGTTTCATGTCTGTCTAGCAGATTATCGTGAAGATATTACATGTGAAAGATGTTCAAAAGAGCTAGCCAAAAATTGATGAAATATAACTTTGATCCTCTTTGGTCACTAGTTTTGCTAATAAAACACTGTGGGGATAGGAGAATCTTGTTCATTTGGGAGTCTTTGTTTATTACATCCATGTTCCCATGCAACTTTCCCATACTTGATATTCCAGCACTATGGGTTGAACTGTTCTACTTGATAAAATTGTAGGTCATGCAGTCATGTGACAAGAACATATTAGTGATAAGGGGCTCCATTGTTTACATTTTGTTCAAATTTTCTTTATATTCTTATCAATTATTTCTGTGTAGATTAATTCTGTTATTTTTGTTAACCATTGCCTTCATATATTATGTTTATTTTATAATGGCATATAATTTTATATTTTTAATTTCGTATTTCATGTTTGTGCTAGAAGAGCAATTAGAAAATGTGTTCTATCTCTAGATTTATAATGTCTCATCTGCCATATTACCTGAAGAAGATGATTATATACTGTTGAAAGTGCTTGTACTTGATAATTAAATATATTTACCAGTAATGCCAACAGACAATTTTTATATTTTCATTTATGCTTAAATTTAGTTGTCTTTATGCTCTTCTAGTGTGTTCTTGTTCAGATGCCTTATTTGTAACAATGTATAATATTTTCAATGTTTATAATTTATTAACACTTTAATTATATATACATATATTTTAAATTTAATAAAGTTTCTTTTTCAGTACTTACTTTATGGTACAATATATTAAATGATTATTATTTGCTAATTGAGAAGCTAATTCAAATTGATGATTATCCATCAAATCTTCATTTACAACAACTAATAATGGTTTTTGAAGTCGTAACGCTTCTAAAATACAACCAGCTCCTAAAAAATTTTAATATTTTATTAATTATTAAAAAATAATTTATAAACAAGATCATTACTTTACAACACATAAAACATATAATATATAACTTATTTAAATTCAGCTTATATATGAAATTCAATAAATTGTCATCAGTATCAAGTATTATATGTTAATAATCATTTCAAGAAAGAAATGACAAAAGAAATGAAAAAACTAAATACAGGCTAACCTCATTTTATGCCAAATGACGATAGCTTGTTTCAAATTTTCCCCACAAAAATCTCAAAAAAATTTTTCCATAATGTATAAAATATTTTTGCTAATGTAAAAATGTTTATTATAATAAGGTACTACTGTATAAATTGATACTATATCTACCCTTTTGCAATATTCTGGCAATAGGTAAAGCATCTGTACAGGTAAAGCATATATTGACAATTTCAGAAAAGTGTTTTAGATTAAAAAGTTTGGTTAATAAAAAATCTTCAATAAAAAGCTGGATGCCAACCCCTGAAAGAGGTTAAAAATGTTTGCTTTACATTTATATTGACACTGCTGGATATGTGTGAAAGGGTCAGTATAGTAACAAACTTTAAAGTGTAAAAATTTTTTGGTGTCTTATGGTATAGGTGACAGTGCTAGTGACAAGTTCATTTTAAAGTGGTGCTTACACTTATGAGTAAAGATTAGTTCACACTGAGTGCAATTTGCTATGAAATGTGAAAAATAAAGCAAACTTTGTCATTAGTAATGTAACTTCTGGCATATGAATACAGTACAGTACATGTGATTTACAATGAAGAATAATTTTTGACTCAAATAAGCAATGCTCAATTTTTTCTTTTCCCTTTGTTTTTAATAAATAGACGAATTTCACTTTTGGCAGCGAATTTCTGTCTGAACCAAATTTAACTCATATAAGAATGCTCTACTTGTATGAAAAACTGTTCTTAGAAGAGTTAGTAGTATTGGTTTGTTTACTATTCAAAAATGTTTATTGTTCACATGATATTTCATCATTTTAAAGTGAAGTTATTGTGTAATAATAAAACTAAAAAAAGAACATCCATGTCAAATAAATGAAATTAGTGGATCCAATTATCCAAATCAGTGTTATGAAATGGACCCTGACTAGGTCCATTTCACTTAGTGACTTCATAAGGAGTTTAAATGAAGTTTTAGCACTTTATTATGAAATAATAAGGAGAGTAAAGAAAGACAAGCAACTTTGGATTCATGTTTTATTAAGGTGCATGATCCATAGTCTAGCCCATCATCAATAGATAAACCTCAACTAAAGCCATCATTAGAGAGCTGAATTTGAGTCCAGTGGCATTGTTACATAATATCATAGTGGCAGTATAAAAACTGCATTGTCAATTCTGTATACAATCGACCCCCGTATAAGATCATTGATTATTCCGTTTTATATGAATTCCATGTTGTACGAGTCACTTAGATTTTACAAATACGTGTACCGGGCTGTGAACGGCTCATGTATTTGTAAAATTTAAGTGACTTGTACAACATGGAATTCATATAAAACGGAATAATCAATGATCTTATACGGGGGTCGACTGTATAAATAAGTAGGCATAATCTATAATTTCTGTATTATTATTATTATTATTGTTATTTTGTATTTTATGTAGCAAAAATTCTGTACTAAACATGTTTTTATTGAAAATATAAAAATAAAAAATATGTATACATATATTGTATATTCAGTAAAATCTCTAATCTTAATCTCTCCTTAAGTTGAACCGAGTTGTTTGTTTTGGTACTGTACTGTATTTATAATGTATTTTTCTATGCCTTACATTGAATAAAATTTTATGTATCTAAGTGTTGTCCCTCCTTAAGTTAAACTAGTCAAATTCAGGAGGTGCCAACCAACCTAAGTTTATTAAGTTTCACAAATCCTTTTAGCAGATTGTTTGCTAAGTAGCTTTAATACAGCTGGATAAGTAAGTCAATGACATTAGAGTTTCAAATTTATCAGAAAATTTGCTTAATCTAGCTTTTCTATAACACTGTTGAGCAGCTTAAAAGTTTTGTTTCTAGCCTAATAGCATTCGGCTTTGGTTGGTGTCTAGCTTTATAGTATATCGGGTTTAATGATGTTGTTTGTTTATATATATATATATATACACACACACACACCTTGTGCTGGGGTTTGCAATGGCCGATTGAGTGCCTTAGGAGATGTTTACAGGACATGGGTCCCCAACCAGCATTGTAAATTACTGTTGATGGTTATAATGTAAGCTTATATAGACTGGAAGAGGAGATCGGACTGGAGGTCTGGGTAGCATAACTGGCAAATACATCTGCACAGTAAGCATGAGTTGTGGGTTTGAGTCCCACTCTGGGATGACTTTTTTGTTCCAGTAATTCTAAATTATTTAAATTAATTAATTAAAAATTATAATTATTAAGAGATGGCACCTAACACCTCCCTCTAGTGTCTTTTATATTAATAAAGATCTACTTGCTAACCATCTAATTTTTTCTGTGAATAATTTATGTAATGTATTAAGCAAAATCTGATTTTTGAAGAAATGCAGTTTAGCACAGAGATTTAATTTTGTGATATATTTAAATTCATGATACAATATTTATTAAAATCATTATTACAACCTAATATATTGTTCTAATAATTGATTCATATAAATATCACATACTTAAATGTAATGAAGAACTGTATTTTTTATTTTATTTCTTTTTACCTTGCATCTGAATAAAATTTTTTCTTAATGTAGAGGACGTGGTTGCTGTATCTTGAATGCAGTGTGTAGCGTCTGTGTAATCCAAAACGAGTTGGTAGACGAACGGACAGCAATTGGTTAGAAAACGTACTTTTTATTTAAAAAATTCCTTATTCATATGCATTTCGGGTTGGCTTAAATGCCCAACCCCTCTTCAGTGTTGACATATAATGGTACAGCATAGATGTATTTTACAAAAAATTTTTTTGGTTACATAGTAGTATGGCATAGCATTTTAGTTAGAATGTATTATTTCCGAATACAAAAAGGAACATAGTACAAAACATTTTTAACAACTGGTCTTATCCGTTGTTCGCTTAGTTCACTTCGTTGTTCGCACTAAGCGAACAACGGATAAGACCAGTTGTTAAAAATGTTTTGTACTATGTTCCTTTTTGTATTCGGAAATAATACATTCTAACTAAAATGCTATGCCATACTACTATGTAACCAAAAAAATTTTTTGTAAAATACATCTATGCTGTACCATTATATGTCAACACTGAAGAGGGGTTGGGCATTTAAGCCAATCCGAAATGCATATGAATAAGGAATTTTTTAAATAAAAAGTACGTTTTCTAACCAATTGCTGTCCGTTCGTCTACCAACTCGTTTTGGATTACACAGACGCTACACACTGCAAAATTTTTTCTATTTTTCACATATCACTATGTATAGAACTCTTCATAACTGAAAAATGCCATTTTTTGGTCAAATCTTCAAATAAAGATTCAGAAGTTTTACTGTAAATTCATTCCTAGATGCTTGGAATGTATTCCTATTTCTTCCATAATAAAATGGGTTTATTTTGTGCCAATTTTGTTTACACCACCTCTATCAACAATGCATCACTGGCATAAAATGAGAGCAGCCTATATATAATTTCTTAAAATTATTTCAAATAATTTAAATTTATGCAATCATCATCAGACTAAAGAAATATCATTCATTATGTAATTAATAAAACATTGATTATTACTGATAATTCATAACAATCAGTATTAAAATTAAAATACTGTAATCAGAGTTGTGCCGTGTTATGATACAGAGAGGCAGCTGCATCAGGCGACACTGTAATGGGGCAGCATTTTGAAGACTTGCATCAAACTGAGAAAATCTACCTCACGGCCTTGACTGTAATTAAAAAGGCAGTGTGGTAAAACATTTGAATTACATTTTTTAGAAAGTTCACAAAAAGATTCCAAATGTGCAGTCTAAATCTTAGCATATAGTTTTATAGAAAATCAAACAGATGCAAGACAATTTTTTTTCTGTTTTGAAATATCAAAAGTACTTGTTTGTAGTTAAAAATGTTTCAAATAAATGACTAACATCAAAAGGCAGTGTATTTATTCTTAATTGAAAATTAAAATATATACTAAATATATGGTATATTTTTCATACTAACTTCAATTTTATAGAAATGTTACATCTATCACATACATCAGATAGCAAATCTTTATATTTGTTTACACCTGTATTTCTTCTCTTTTTAAAGAATTTAAAAGCAGAGCTATGTCTAGAGAATAGATCTATCTTCTTTTATGTTTAAAATATTATTACATTAAAATAATTTTTTTTTAAATGCATAAAGGTGTTTTTTGAAACATTATTTAATTTTAATTGGGGTGGCAAAGTAGCATTTGCCTAAAAAAAAATTATACTCCCTTACAATGGTTCTGGTCTTCAGGATAAATATGACCTTTTGTGGTTTCTAGTACTGTCTGATAAAATTTAAAATGGTATGAAGTTTAGTTTTACAATCATAAATTTTGAGTTATGAAAGTATTTTTTTTTAAATTATTTTATTTAACTTGCTTTGTATCACATAAATAAAATAAACAAAGTGATTATTAGCTATTCATAAATAAAGAGTTTTGATAAAATAATATTTAAACATTCATTTTTTTCAAATAAATAAATATTGCAATCAGTTAACATTATGCAGATGCCCACTTATTTTTGTTTACACAAAAACAATATCTTTAGCCACGAAGCCTTTTTAAATATTACTATAGTTTGTTATGTGCTACTAAAGTAATAAATAAACATGACCAATGCATACATTATATTGCAAAAGATTATAATAATTGACTAAATTAGAAAAAATATATATATTGTAATACAAATATAAAAAACAAACTAAAAAACACAAAAAATTAGACATTTAAATTTTTCTAAATGAGGAAACATCTTAGTACCTTCAAGGCAGAATAAAAAAAAAGTGAAAACTGCAAAAAGAGAAACTG